TACAATAAGTTAGTCAAATCAGTTAATAAAATCAGCTAGTCAAAATCAGCTAACTCAATCAGCTTCAGCTTTCAGCTTTTTCCCAAACAGGGCCAAGAAAAAAAAAATTAACAACAATTAAACTAAATAACAAACCACCATCACCAGCACTGAAACCACCCGCACTACCGGCACCAAAATCACTCACCAGCACCAGCACCAGCACCAGCACCAAAACCCTTACCAGTTAGCCGCACAAAACACCGAACAAACCACCACCACCTACCACCCAATACAAAACACCCACGGTCGTATTTGGGGCAGGGCAGCCGGGGCGGTCGCCCAGGGCCCCATAGCAAAAGCCCAATTTTCGTTAGTAAAAGCCTGACCTTCATTATTTTAGGTATAAAAATTAATTTCTAGATATGTTAAATGAATGAACAAAGTGGTTCAATGGTTAGAACAGAATTTAGTTATATGTTTACATTCTCATAGATTCGATTCCCATTAACTATTTTTTTTTTCCTCCCGTTAACTATTTTTTTTTCCTTTCATTTTTTTCGCTTAGTTTTACAAGTATGATACTTTCGTAATTTTGTAATTTTGTATGACTTTATTTTTATAAAGTTTTTTTTTTTTTTTTTTTTTGGTTCAAAAGATTTTAAGATTAATATTTGTTATTCTATTATTATATTATATATTCACATTAATATTAGAATACTAGGAAGTACCATTTGTATGAAATTGATTATTAATTTATACTCCTTTTGTTCTATTTTAATTGCATGCAATGATGGGAGTTTTTTTTTTTTTATATATAACATAAATATCATCAGTTATGTTTTACTAAATATTATAAAAGTTGATAATGAAAGTATATTTTGAGGAAAATCTAACAAATATCACATATATATATATATATATATATATATATATATATATATATATATATATATATATATATTTTCCAACCCATAAATTACAAAAGATGATCAAAGGAGTGTACGTGAATAAGATTAAATTCAAAAGGTTAGAATTGGAGGAAAAAACTGGAGGAAATATGACCAAGCTAAATAACGTCATAAATATATAGTACTCTTCATTTGCAATCAAGCTTTAGTGCATATGACATGTATGATTAAATTTATAGGCCCCTAATTGTTACTTTGCCCATAGGCCCCACAAAACTCAGAAACGGCCCTGAAAACACCGAACAAACCACCACCACCTACCACCCAATACAAAACACCGAACAAACCACCACCACCTACCACCCAATACAAAACACCGAACAAACCACCACCAAGCCGCACAAAAACACCGAACCAACCACCACAAGCTGAGCCGCACAAAACAACGAACGAACCTACCAACCCACAAAAACCCACAAATCTAGAAAACCCTTGAACTCATGAACCCTCCCTTAAACCCACCAACCCATCAAACCCACAAACCCACTAACTTAGAAAACCCACTATCCCAACAAACCCACCGAACCCGCGAACCCGCAAAAACCCACATATCTGAACTGCCATGAGAATAAGGTTGGACGAGGATAAAAATATAATGGGGATGAGGAAGAAGATGAAGAAAGAAGAGAGAAAGATAATGGGGATGAGGAAGAAGATGAAAAATTAAGTGACGAAGGTGATTGGGATGATAATGAATTTAGAAGGAAGGGGATTGCTTTTGGTGGAAATGGTGAAAAAGTTAGGGCAATTATGTAAAATCACACAAAAAAACTTACTAAAAAAAAAAGAAATCACTTTGTTACGAGTAATGTGTGACTGTGTGAGACAGTCATTTTTTGTAAATGTTGCGAGTAATGTGAAGCGGAGGTAATATTATAGAAAATTTCAAATACATACTATATATATATATTAGCCTATTGTCATGCGTGTTATATATCAATGTATATCACATTAATGCTTATTTGTCGTGTGGACATGATGAGAAGTAAATGACTTTATAAGATATTAATTGAAATTTATAATTTAACTAATACATATGGAATATTGGAATTGATTGAAAATTAAACTCTAAATCAACTATTTTATCCTAAATATCTATCCTTATGCTATTGAAAATAAAACTCAAAACTAACTTTTTTTTATCTTAAAAAATCTATTTAAATCTACCAACATTTTTACCCTACATGTCATACTAATAATTAATTATTGCCTACGTGGCGCAACACTTGGTGAAAAGTTGAAATGTCAAGTGTTGTTGTCTCATTGCCTATCTAAAAGTTTAGCTTTATATATTAGTTATATGATATGATATGATATATTGCGCTCTTACAAAAATCCATATATATACTATGAAACTATCAAATAATAAGGTTTGTATCAATGATATGCTTTAAAATGTGGTGTAGATAAAAAGGTTTATCCATTTAATATAAATAATCCGAGAGATTGCCCGAACACAAAATTTTATACTACTGTATTAAAAGGCGTTTATTAAAACATCAATGTACCATGTAGATCGTTTTAAATCACGCCATGTCACTCCACAAACACCTCATGACGCCACCTCACCCAAGCAACCCACATTACTTCATATAACAAAAATATAAGGTTAAGGGGATTTGAATACCCAACCACGTAACAAAGTTGGATATTTAACCATATTAGCCTATTGTCACGCGTGTTATATATATATATGAAAAAGAATTGTACGATTCCATCTTAGCCTATTGCCACCAGGCTGATGAGACGATTTCTCATATTTTTCAGTATTGTCCCTTCATTCGAGGTGTTTGGGCTTCCGCGTCGACGGGTGTAATTTGTCTGATCCCCTTGCACCAGAACTTTGACATGTGGTTAAGCGAGACCATTAGCTGCTTTGTGACTGCTAAGGATTGGGTTAAGTTAGATGGTACTTTAAGTCTTATGTGGGTTGTGTGGTTATCCAGGATTAATCTTCGTTTTCGCTCGGAAGTTTATTCCCATGCCAGGATTCTAGTTGTTGCCTCTGGTTGGGCGAAGCGCAGTTTGGCAGCTCGATGCTTGTCTTGTCTGGTTGGGCGAAGCGCAGTTTGGCAGCTCGATGCGGGTTTCACTTCTTCTGTGCTTCACTCTGAATTGCTGCCTGTTTACTTGGTTTGCGCCATGTACGCGAGAAGGGCTTCACTAGTGTTCGGATATTTACAGATTGCAGTTCAGTTCAGTTACTTATTTGGGGTCAGACTTCGGATACAATTGAGGTTATTTGGATTTTGCGGTGGACCCGTCATATTACTACCTCCGTTACATATTATTTGCAACGATTAGACATTTTTCCTCTCTACTTTTATGTCAAATCGTTGCAAATAATATGTAACGGAGGTAGTATTTCTTTTTTCCATGCCTATGAGATCCACAAGGTTTCCCGCCAGGAGATTGGTCCAGCTCATCTTTTGGCCGGCTTGGCTCGACGACGTCATTTTCTTTATTTTCGCTTTTAGTTTTCTTTTGTAGTTCTCTTTGTCAAAAAAAAAAAAAAAATTGTATATAAGTGCAAACTACATGATTTAATTACTAAAAAAAACACATTCAATAATGTTGATTTCAGATTTTAAATTTCTTATAAAAAAATCCCAATTGCACAATTACAAAAGTAGCCCCGGGGCAATGTCTGGGCTACTCAATAGTTAATAAATTATTTAAGGGTTTTTAGATTGAATAATTTATACCTCTTTCCTTTCTTTAAAACCCTACCCTCCGTCATCTAATATGAATGGGCTTCCATCGATTTTTACTAGTAGAAAGCCCCAATCTTTGTTTCTTGTCACTTTTTTCTTTTTAATTTTAGTTTTGTAATAAAACTTCCACTTCCAGGATGATCTTTTGTCCCTCAAAAGAAAGAATTATTCATCTCTATTTTTTGAGTTGCTTTTATTTTTATGGGAGTGGTGTGAAGAATTATACAAAATCGTAAAATTTATTAATTTCTCGAATATTATCTAATAAATTAGATAAAACCATTATCAAGACTACATCATATTGTTAGATTGTCTCTCAAAAAACGTGGTAAGTTCCAGCGATGTAATATAAGCGTAAGATTTTCCTTAGTGCAAGATGTATTCAACGATTGTAGCTTATATGAAGGAATTCTTTATTTGATTCATTATATTATGTACTTAATGAGTTCAAACAATTATTTAAAATGTCATATGACAATTTATTAACAGATTGATTTTACTATTTCAAAAGAAAAATAAATACTTTATTAAAGAGTCAAACTAAATCCCTAACAAGAAGTTTGAGATTACTACTATAAACAGTGTTGACAATTACACTTTTAAAATGTTTATTTACTTTTCTACCCTTATTAATGTTAATTGACATTTTTTTCGAACTCTTAATAATAGTGTGAAAATTTATACCCTTAAGAATATTTATTTACATATTTTCCATTATAAATATTATAACAAGTAAATTTGTAACTAAAAAAAAAAAAAAAAGTAAATTTGTAACTTAAGGCCAAATCGAAAGACCTCCGTGGACATTACAAGTTATAGCACTCGCATCGCAGGCGTAGGCCACCAAAATTACAAACTAGTAAAAACGAGTTCAAGAAAGAAGAAAAAGAAATAAAGCCCATAGTCCAGCCCAAACATAGCATACGCCAAACCCTAACCCTAATCATACAAGCTATAACAGTATATAAACCACAAATTACAACAATCAGTCACATAAGACATAACTCATCCCCCCCTTCAAAAAAAAAAAAAAAAAAAAAGACATAACTCATCATCTCTGATTTTCTTTCTGTTTTACATTTTTATTGTGTTTTTGTTAAATTTTCTGTCAAATTTATTTATAAATGGGAGAGAAATTGCTGTGATGCTTCAAAACTACCTATTTTCTGAGAAACATTATTGTTTCTTTGATTAATATTTACCAATGGATCCTTCTGAGCTTTCTCTCTTATCTCTCTTTCTATATTTTTTTAAATTAAGAAAAGAATTTAAATGTTTTTTTTTTTTGGGGTATGAGAATTTTTATTTCGGTATATCGAATATTTTCATTGATCAAAAATATTTATTTAAGTTTTGATGATTGGATTGAAGTTGAAGCCATTGAAGTGATGAAATTTGTATCGGAATATAATTATGTCGACTAAAACTACAGACTACAATTATCTGATTCAATGGCTTAATTTCTTAATTTTTGTCAAATTTATACCTCAAAATTTTCCTATTTTTTTACAATAATTTTATTTTCTTCTGTTATGTACATTTGAAATTGCAATTGAAGTGTGAAAGGTTACAGTCGAGATTGCAATAAATATAAATAAATACTGTAAAGTCGATAATAGTATTACATTGACATCTGAAGTTTAAGATTGAAAATGGAGTTATTGAAGTGATGAAATTTGTATCGGAATATAAATGTGTCGACTAAAACTACAGACTACAATTATCTGATTCAATCACTCCTTTTCGTAAACTATGTCAGATTAATTTACAAATTGGAATTTATCGCTGAATATTTTTTGTTTTTTGTCACTTCAAAATTACAAAATCAATAAAAAATAAACTAAAAATTATATTTGAAAATTGCATATTACTCCGAAATAAATTGTGAGGATTTTAATGCGAAATAAATTCAATTTAATCAAATTTTAAATTTTAAACATAATTTAGAAACTTAAGACTCGTATTATTCGTGAGGCATAAAATATTTTTTCTTGTGAGTAATAGGAACTGGAGGTAGTAGATAATAATGATTTTCATAAATGTTATTGCCATCAAAATTAATTGATCTTGTAAAAATAGAAGATTTCAATTTTCTGAACAAAATCTTAAATTTTATGCAGAACTACATGACAAAAACATGCTATTGTATCATTATACAGGATGCCCTTAATATAGCTTCATTATTTTACTCTGTAATGCAATGTAATATTATAAAGGATGCCCTTTATAGCTTCATGACTCGTGAGTTTGTGCAGTATTAGCTTCGTGAAATCGTGAATGTATACCCAATCATCCCGTTGAGTCACTAGAACGATCTGATGATCATCGAGTTTACTTCTAGAGTAAATTGCATCCTCAAAACAATAGCACAAAAAAAGCATATTAATATGAGAAACAAACTATTTCGTTGTACCATGCTAGAAAATTGCATTGCCAAAAAAAAGCAGCAAGTTTAGAAGCACCGCAGCACTGCGTACAAGACTCTGTACATCAGTCACCTTATCCTTGTTTGTATGTCTGAAAATGGACTTGTTTATACAATTATATGAATGCATCTCAAGAACGGAAGTTTCTCTATTTAACTTTCTTCTAAACCTATGCATCACACCTTATATCCCCTTCTGCGATCCACAGAAAGAACTATATTCAGTACACATAAAGATGCTGAAGTTAGTGTTATTTTCCTGCAGTTCGTACTCATGTCTATGACTTTCTCCGGGAACAGCATTTCATGTTTATAAAGCTATCTATAATCCTAGCAAAAAGGCATCATAGTCTCAGGAAAAATTACGAGGGAGTTGTATGGTTAGCAGGTGTGAGCCGCAACTGAACATGAACTTGAATGACATCAGATACTGTTCCGAGAATCTCCTTTTTCACTTCCTCTGCCATCAACCTTGCATCACTGACACAGAAACCGGTATAAAAAATATGTACCAGTATAATTGAATGAAGTAAAGGATGATTCCTGAAACATTTTACCTGATCATTATGTCAGGTGGCATGGAGACCTCAACATCCAGCATAATCTTGTTTTGCAACAAGTGAGGCGTTATGTGCTCTAGCTTCATTTTCTGGAAATATAATTCAGGGCCAGATGGATTAATAACAGAAACAAAAACAAAAAGAAAATCTTCCGCAGAAATCAAGGACATATACAACTACAGAACTAGTACGTAGTAACTGCCCCCATTATAAGTGAAAGAAGGGAGCGGAGGGGGGAAGTTGGAAGCCCACCTAGAGGTAAGAAGGGGGAGTCATTTTTATTAGATTTTAGCAAGATCAAGAAGCTGAATCATTTTCTTAACACCCAAAACCTACTGGTTATAATGAAATAGTCAAATCCTATCTAAGCAGCAAAGTGACATTGAATGTCTTCTTGTCCACATAATATCAATCCAAAGTTCTATTACTGTCTCTTTTCCTTTCCTCCACTGGAATACAATAAAATTATTTGATTAGACTCCTTCACGTGAACTCTAGAGAACGTGTCCTTGGCACGTTTCTCCTCTTTTGACGCCTACACAAGGGTAGCTAGAGAATGCAACGCGTCTTTGTTCGTGTTTGTCTTTACTATTTGTACAGAATTCCTAGTGACTTGGGAATATTAATTACACACATGCAGATATACAAAATGTTTAAATTAAATGGGCAACAAAGAAAAGCTACATTTGACCTTATCTGTACACTTCCTAGACATGAAAGTTTATAATTAGATCTGATCTGGTCTGAAGCAAATAATTGCTTCAAATGTTGAGTTGAACATAGCCTGAGTAGGATAGAAGAATGAACCTTTGGAAACTGTGATGAGAATATATCAGAGATGATATGATCAAAGTCTTTGTCCTTTAAGGAGATACTGTCATTAGTTTCATCCAAGCTGTCCAAATTCTCTTTCACGTCAACTTCTGGTGATATTTCAGAAATAGAAGGATCTGCAATAGAAGTTCCAATGTTAAAATGAACCCACAAGGTAACAGGATCAAGAATAGAGGTGATGCAACTGCTATAATATAGTTAGCATTAGCAAGCAATGTCAGTGACTTCAAGAGCTAAAACAGATAACAAAAGTCATAGTTTGAACTTTGAAGCAGATGAGCTTAATTAAGTGTGTATCTTCAGAAAACTAAATTTGCACAGCAGTGGTCGTAAATCATAACGAAAATCCACCGGCAGCAAAACAACATATTAGAGTCAGGCTGAGGCAGAAAATGCTATTAAAAAAAAAAAAAATTCCTTGACCAAGCAAAGAAGAGGCAAGGTTGGCACATCGCCCTCCATCGCTGCTCCCTCTTCCTAGACCGGCAACCTAGAATATAGCCATCGTTTCTCTTTCAGACAACTTGGGGGATATTTTAAAATCACTAAAATCTTATAAATGATAACCTATCTTCAAAAAAAAATCATTTAAAAGATCTTTCACATACATGTTTGAATAGATCATTAAAATTTCTCTCTAAACAACTGAAATTTAATTCAACGAAGGATATTCAGTGAGAAATTTTGGAAGCATCAGTTCAGGGTCAAATCAGAAAGATGTTAAAACAATAAGGATGAGAAAGATTTAATGTGTAAATATTCTTAAAACTGAATGTGCAACTTTTTCTTAACTCAAACATGATGTGCATATTATTCGAACCAAATGTGTTCATGAAATATTTTTCCATTCATATCAAACATGGTGGGCTCATGATAGTTTCCGCACTCTTGCACTTTTATCTATTCAACATATTTCAATATACAACTAGTTTTATTTTCCCCTTATGCCGTACCTTCTGCATCTCCTAAACTACTTCAGTAAAAGGGAGTCAGGGTGGTCGATGACATCAGCTTGCTATCCGTCCAATATACAACATATAACACAGCAAAAACTATCAATTTAACAGCAAGCACTAATGCAGAAATGCCAGCACAATTTTGAAATTGGTGAGTTTATCATTAGGTCCATTGTGCTATTCCACAATCCAACCCATGGATAGAAAACCAAAAGTTAATTTCATTATTCAGCCACTTCATCCGAAACCAAATATAGGTGCTTCAAATTGTAACAGCAAAGATAATCTATGTTATGCCAATATGAGAATTGAGTAAAAGTACATTTGCAGCACAGCAGCAGTATCTACCTATGTGTATGAAGACTTCAGCCACTTCAGGATGAGACTCGTGAATTCGGTGCCTAACATTTTCACCAATATGATGAGCGGCACTGACACTGGTGAAAGGATCAACCTGCAAGGTACACATTGATTCAAATCTTATAACAAGATATGGAACAAGGCTTCCAAATTATATCCACACTCAATTCTTTCACCAAGTATCCCTAATATATTATACAACAAAAGAACAATAGCAGATAAAAACAGCTTTACAAGAAAGAGGTATTGGACTAGGTAAACAAGTTCCATATAAAGAAAATTTGAAAAAGAAAAACTTAAAAACAAGAGCACAAAATACACTGGACATCAATCTGACAATAAACAAATAAAGGAATATATATGATTCATATCAAGATCAAACAACTTCTCAAAATCTTATTAATCCTAACCACAACACACAGGATAAACAAAAATTTTGTACCGTAAAATCAAGCTAATTTTCAGCTTTCACAAACATAGATACAAGTAATACAGAACTATATACTTATTAAACCAGGTAATATAAATCTGATACAGGTGCAGATTCAAATGTCTGATCCTTGAAAAGAATATTCAAGGATACAGAGACTAATTTGAAGGAAATAAGGAGGAACTCAAAAATTCGTATATTAGATTAAAACTAAAAGCCAAGTACGATTAAATAATATGCATATGGTTTATGTAGTAATTCAGATTTTTATTAAAATTTTTGGAAACCTTTTAGTGTCATTTTTTCTTGCACATCACCTAAGTAACTTTTTCTTTTGTTTTTTTTTTTTTTTTTTTTTTTTTTTTTGACGGGATCATCTAAGTAACTTGCCTCCTCTAAATTCTGAAATATATAACGAAACATCAATACTACCCATTTTGCAAACACTTGATATCTGTAAATCTTTGCTTTACATAGAATGGTTTGGTTAGGATTTGGAATGGTCTGCCAATCACACGAAAATTATAAACTTAAATATACCTTTTCTATAGGAAAAATACACAAAAAGATTAGGTAGACCAATGCAAGTTACACTTTACAATATCATCATTACCACCCATACTCCTCCCATATTTGCATTATAAAAAAAATCTATGGAAAAAAAAAAAGCTTAAAATGCAGCAACGTATATCTCGCTCCTGAGGCTTGGTGGCTACCCCATCTCCTTCTAACAACCGGCAGCTCACCGACCAAAATCAATGATAAAACCATCTAAGTCGACTCACCATAGAGAGCAGCTTTTTCAATATCATCACTTCTCCCTTCCATATATAAATCCAGGACTTTGCGAAAAAACATCAGATCTGAAATATTTTCCTTTGGGCAGGTAATTGCTGTCTTCTTCACAATGATAAGGGGTGTCAGATGACCAAATTACTTTGTTTCAAATCCAATTTGATTGCAGGGATGCATCCCGTACTATATTAAGTTGGGTTGGATTGAATTGACAAAATGACATTTGGACATGTGGTACATCCCTTGGGTGATGAATTAACGTTAAGGAAAAATGTCCTTACTTAGGCATTGATTTTGCACATCCATCAGTATCATTGAGTTTGTCCAAATTTATATTTCCAATCAAAAGAATTCACCTTATACGGAAAATATTGACCTCCAAATGTCAGTTGAGAGTTGAGACGAGGAAACCCGTGAAACAAAAGACTAACATAGAGAGCTGATTAATGGTCAATGCTTCACATCCAATTTTTTAAGTCTATACCTCATTTCCATCACATTGCACCTAAAAGAGTTGTGTCCCAAAAGAAACTACCAAAGACATTACCCTTTCAGCATATGTAATAAGATAACATAATCTTCGAGTCCTAGAGTCCAACCCTAGATTTAGGCACACCAACCTACTGGATGTCCCCTCCTATCATATACTACCCTTGGCTCAAGGATAATTTCTCATAATCATCTTGCTCTTATTGGAGACACCCACAAGCTTCTTAAAGGAGACCAGAAGTAGGGAGTGATGTTAGAAAGGAAAAACTAAATACAACCTCCAAATAATAACATTGATTCTGTTTTGACTTTTTTTTTAAAAAAAAAAAACTGATGCTCACTATGGTCATCCTTTCAGCTAAAAGTTCTGAGAAGAAAGATGAAAAGTGTTTCATACTCACTTCTAAAATAGTGAGAATAATTACAGCAATAAAGAATGATCTCCTTTTCCAGTAAATACGGCATTTTATTTTCTCTTCATAAATGCCCTTCACTAAATACTAGCAACCTTACATTGTCTAATTAATTTTTAAATCCTATTTTACATCAATCATTAAACAATAACTGACAATTAATTTTGTGGTAAAAGGGGGGCACAAGGTAGTAGCTATACCAAGTTACCAACACCCCCTTAGGAAGTTGTCTACTTTCTAGCCAACACCCGTTAGGGGAATGCCTTAGGGCATGCCTATCACCAAAGCCAACTCTCATCCGTTTTAGAGTATGGAAATTTGAGAATTTTCATTAGCAAATTTATCAACAACTAAGTTTTTCAAATTTGACTACAAGACATCTTTGACAGAGTATAAAGCTTTAGAACCAGACGATATTGAGCATAGAGGAAATAATTGGTATTTTGTGAGTATAAGCACTAATTTTCATTTAATTACTGTATATAATGTTCTTTTTTTTTTCTTTATTTATTTTTATTTTTGATTGACACTTGTGAAATTTTATCAATTATGTCATCCTTTGAGTTAAAAAAAAATGTTTTAATGATGGCAAAATGGCATTCGTTTATTTATAAAAGGAAAAATACACTTTAATAATCCCAACTTTGCCCAATTTACTTTAAATAATCCTAACTTTCGATTATTCTGCAATGATCCCAACTTTAAGGTGTATTTTCTTTCTTCGGTCCCAAACTGGTCAACAAAAGTCAATGACCTCCAAAAAAAAAAAGATGAAATAATAACAAAAAAAAGAAAAAGAAAAAAAAAAAAAAAGCAAAACCAAGCCACCACCAGCCCACAACCACTGGCGGTGACCACCCTCTTCCCCTCCGCACACCGAACCACCCCCTCCCCAACCTCTGCTGATTTCGACCCCCTTCCCTTACTTCCAGGCCGGAAATCAGGCCCCCACCCAACAAACCGCCACCTACCTTCATAGCACCGCCCCCGCAACCATTCCCCTCCACATAACATTGTCTAATTGGTCGCCCTCCCTTCCAAGACTCCTCAAATAGATCGCCCCTCCCAACCCTCACCCTAAAACCCGGCTACCCTCAACCTATTTCCCCTCCATTTTGGGCACTATTCACCGATAAAAACGTAAGTGTGTGGTAGGGTGGTGGGGAAATCGGTGGTGGGGAAGGTATTTCGGGGTTGGGGGATGGAGAGCTGTCGCAAATCGATGGTGAGGGCTGGGGGAGGAGGTTGGTTTAAGCTAGGGATGGGACGAGGTGGCCACGACGGTGCTGGTTGCGGCTTGCTTAGGCTTTAGTTTTTTTTTTTTTTTTTCCCTGCTTAATTTATTAAAAATTAAATTTTTTATTTTAATTTTTTAAAGCAATTAACATGTGACACGTGTCAACTAAATTTTTTTTAAAAAAATTTAACCCCTTCATCAGGTTACCGGTTTTTGGGACCAAAGAAAGAAAATGCACCTTAAAGTTGGGATCATTGCAGAATAATCGAAAGTTGGGATTATTTAAAGTAAATTGGACAAAGTTGGGATTATTTAAGTGTATTTTTCCTTTATAAAATTCAGCTAAGCAAAGTGTAAAAGCAATGAACATTTAATAGCTTGTTGACAAAAATTCCAGAAAAAATCATGATGCCCACATCCAATCCTAATTAGTAAACATTAAACAATGAGAAGGTATCATACCTCTATGTGTACATCAAGGTGCAAAAACGAGCCAGCCCTTCTTCCCCTCAGACGGTGACATCCCTATATACATAGCCAAGGGTGCCATTTAGCAAGCAATAATGTGAATATTGTGAACATACAAGCACTAATTGCAACAGAAGGAATGTAGTTATTTATACGGTGTCCCAGTGACTGAAGAAACAACATATTTAAAAATAAATGAATCGGCAAAAATTGGATGGTGAATTGGTATCAACATTTCAATCAGCAAGTTTTTAAGTGCTAAAATTGTTGCTAGAACTTATATGGCTAACAAGAGAATTAAAAAAGAGATTGGGGACCATTTTGAAAATAGAATGCTTCAGAACATGGCCCCCAAAAAAACTGCTTTTATGCTATGCAGCAGCTGCTAGCCAGCTAAACAAAAGGATTCCAACTTGCTATCACACAACAGATGCTAAATAAAATCATGACATTGCACCTATAAAAGTATTTTGTTTCACATATAGGCAAACTTTTAAATCCATTCTAGAATTTACAAATGTTTAAACTCAGGAACTTCAAAAAAAATTTAACCTAAATTATAGATTATCCTAAACAATGCATAATGGCCTTTACATATGACAATGAAGTTTTATTGGCCTCAAACTCCCAAGGTAAGATGCCAAATATTCCACTTCCATGAGCAGTGACCATTATGGCAATGACATTGCAACACACTTGGTAAAAACTTCAGAAACTATATCTACATGATTACCACAACAAAGAAAACAAAATGAATCCACTATCTGCTCTATCACCTATCACCATTATGCTGTAATATTCTCAAGTGATGTAGAAGAATCATAGGTAACTACCTCGTGCAGGGGTAAGCTAATTAGTTCCGCACTAAGTGCACATTCATTCAAATTTACAAAGGAACTACACCTTAAATTGAATTTAAAAGGATGGGATTTACCTTCACTCCTTCAACTTGTAGAATTGTTTCTCGATGAGGGTCCAATAGCTGCTGTGGAACTGCAGCATCTACCAGCTCTAAAACACTACAGTTTTGAACAAGAAAGTATATATTAACTTATCATTGCAATGTATTGTCCACATGTTTGTCAGCTTAAATTTACACCCTACAGTCCTAGACTCAATCTTCACAAAATCATACTTCAACTGTGGAGGACCATTCTTAAAAAGCGACATGTCTGTTAGCAGTATAAATTGTACAAATAACTAGTTCAGATCATAGAGCAAAGAGTAGCAGATATAAATGTTCCACACTAACATGACTGTTTCTCTACAGCACAACACTACATAACCATTAACTTTGTTTCCAACAATAAAAAAGCTTTCATACTGCCATTAGTTGTCAATGTAATTATTCGCCATTCATACATCATACTTATTATTAATTAAACATCACATCTTGCATAATGAAATAAAAAATAATAAGAATAATGAAAAAAAGCTACAAATATGTTCAAGTTTAGAAACTGTACAACTTTCAACGATAATTTTGAAATCCGATTATTCAAATTTCGGATTATTTTGCTCATCTCTAAATTTAATACATTTTCCATCATCCCTCCCCTTCACTGCTTCACATATTCCAATTTTATGACAAGGTTTGCAAATAAAAAATAACATGGAAAATACAGTTAAGGCATCAATTAATGAAGGTTGACAAACAGGATACCTCTGGTAACCAGTTTCCAGACCTGCTTTTAGAATCATGCCAGACACAAGAAGTCCAGCAAGGGGATCAAAAAATTTCACACCAAGAATGGATCCTCCTGAGACAAAAATTAAAAGACACTTGTCATCAATTCTGTCAGTCAAAATGACAAAAACTAATCCAATATGATCACATTTCCATGTCATTATTCATAACGAATCATTAAAATGATGATAAATTTAACTTCATACTTATAATTTCATAAAGTGAATTGGTAAAGCAATCATAACAAAGGTTAAAAGCCAGCCCTCTTTCAAGTTTCAACTGTTAAATCTACAACTCTTCCACTAACAATATCTCGAGAAAGATGCCAACTTTCAAAAGCTAATAATTTGTGCAAGGAATTTTTATTTTTTTTATTCTTTGGCTAAGGAGAAGGTGCTCCTACCGGAGTGGAACCTTGCACAAGTCAACCCGACCTGAGTTAGCTGCAAGAGCCCTTAGGAGTGGCTTCCCAAGACCACAACGTGGAGCCACAAACCAAGAAAAAGGTAGCTTAAGGTTGTGCTTGTGCCAGCTTGATACAAATGAATGCCATGAAACAAATGTACCTTGGCATGAAGGGGGGGGGGGAGAAAAAAAAAGGGAGTGAAATAGGGTAGGCTGCCTAGGTAAGGGGCAAATAGTTGAGAGCTTAGCATGTAACCGTAAGCAGCACTAGTGTTTTATTTTGCAATACGTGAACCGGGGGTAAATATAATAAGTAGCAAGACTAACAACTGTCTACAGATAGCAGTGTTGAACAGCATAATAGAATACTTGATAAGAGTGAAAAGTGGCAAAAAGGCCTTGCTTCTATACCCAAATAAAACTAAAGCTTCTGGCATGAGTTTTAAAGACTATGCAAGATCATATACTCCATGTATGATAACCACACCACACCAAGCTTCCTGATTTTCGTTAATCAATTACTGCAGAAGTTTAATATCAAAATGCCGCTGGTACTGAGAGTGACAGCTTTAAAGTTGTGAAGTAAACTTAGGCTGTGGGGATCAAAATCAATCTATAGCTACACATTCACAATAGACAGTTCTTACCTACCCCAATAAGTGCAACGAAAGAAGAGATAGCATCAGCCCTGTGATGCCATGCATTTGCTTTCATGAGTCCACTGCCTTCCTTTTCCCCAGCTCTCTTTGTTATCCGAAAAAGACTGCAACAATAATGGAACATATAAGGCACGGTCCTTTAACTTTATATACAATTGAGCATGAAGGAAAAAAAAAAGAATCACAATGAAAAGGATCTGAAACAAACATCAGAATGGCAAAATCGAAATAATAATTTCTCATAGGTGAGATTGTCTAGTAACAAAAAGCTAGAAAAAAGTTTGTCATAAAATATTACTATGTATTGTTATTCTATCTGATTAGTTATAAGTTGGAATATAGTTGCAACCTTCAATCCAAAAAGAAGATCAAATTTCTAAGTGTAGCTGTCCAATTTTTGTTACCATTTTAATAGAAATCTGAGTGGTAAATATGGGTGACAGAAGACAGAGAGACAGAGGGTAATATATAGCAGATTAAGTAGGAATCCAATGCTAGTTTGTTATATCCACGATAACTTTACTCATAATACTTACATTTAGAAGGACGAGGTTAAGAACTGGTCTGATACATTAATTTATTTATTTTTTACATCTATCAGATGATATGAGCTTACACATTTTAGTCTTAGATTGACAACTTGGAAAATTATATAAATTCTATGATGCCTTGGTGCACTTGAACCTTTTAATCCCATTTTACTTCTTCTAAACCATTATTTATATATTGCATGTCAACCATATGAGTAGCTTTTGTCTACCAATATCATAGTCATTGAACAATATAACAAATGACTAAACCCATAACAAAACAACAAATCTGTGCATCAAAAGCATTACATACAAATAATGAGGGGAGATTATTTTGGAGCATATACCTAATTTATTTCTTCAACTTAGCACTGGCGAGGATAACGTATAAAAACTACTCTTATATAGCAATATCCACAGTATCTACCACTTACCAGCTTATACTAGAGTGAAGTTAAAGGAAGTCACACGATTACTTCATTCAATTTGAATTAAGCACCATAATTGGCCCCACTGATCTCAGTAAATACATTAATCAATACATTGAAAAGAATAAGACCTAGGACTCTCCAAGAGCGAGCTAAGAACCATAGATTATTTAGAAAGTTAAACCTAGATCTCAAATAAAAAATAAAGTATGGAAATATTTTAGGGATGCAATACAGGAGAAGCCAGAAATTCAGAGTGACTAGGGGGTCTTATTGGCATTACAATGTAACATAAAGTCAGTGTCATGAAATTGACATTTTTGAGGTTGTACAGCAATTAACATCAAGTATGCTTCATGACAATCATAGATGCATCAGAAGGGTTCCTAATAGAGTGTAGAAGTACAGCTGCTAAAATAATATCCCGCCCAACTAAGTACTTATTTGGGATGAATTAATGCCTTCATTTATAATAACACATTAATATCGATAAGAGAGTGTGAGGTCCATTGTAATACAAAACAGAATTGATTGAAGATGCATTTAAGACTATTAACAAGGGGAAAGCCAGAAATATAGTCCAAAGGGATAACAGGCTAACAGCAAATTTAGAGGACCTAGCCAAGCTTCTATGGATTGGATTAGTCGTAGAATAAATTATATACCCTTCTTTTACAGCGATGGATAAAATAGCCATATTTAATGCGAGAATCGGGTGATCCATATCGATCTTATGGTCATGCCCACTATGATGACCATGCTCATGCATCAAGGATTGGCTAACAACTTCAGGAGATGCTGTAAGCAAACCCTGCAAAACAACATCATAGTTTAGTTAGGGAATCGGGCAGCATTCAAATTATAAAAAGTTATATAGCTTCATACAAATATGAACTCCAAGACAGCCTAATACTTAAGCCAAATTTTCTTGAAGTGTTAAACAATATCATTTGTTACAAAAATTTAAAATTGAGAAGGATCGAAGGGGAAAAGATGAAACTACAAAGAACCACATTCGACTGACATAGGGAGATTTTGAAAATTTCGCCTCAGTGGACCAGCAGCCAAAGATTTTAACCATCATAATCAAGCTTGCCATGAAAATTAACACTGCATCCGCCATCCATCATCAGTTACTCCCAGATTTCCCCATTGATCCTTAAAAAATACACACATACCAGGCAGAATAATATTATTCAGTCTTCAGATTTTCAAGCTGTTATGTGAGACCATTTCAAAATCATTGTGCGACATCCATAACTGGCTATTATGAGATCACGTGAGAAATAAGATACTGTTGCTAAACCTGACACTAATACTACTTGGGCTTTATTAAATTTCTAAAATTATAAAAAAAATTTGTCTAGAGTTCTAAATTCACGAATTCTAGAATTTCAAAATCATTCAATTAAACAATTGAGCACACAAACTTATATTTCAAATAGAGTTAACTAAGAGACTACGCCAAAGTGCTTCAAAATACTAAGGCAATTAAGTGGATTACATCACTTACATATTTGAACAGGTTCAACAATATTGATACTTTGCAGAAAACAAAGACCTACTACATGTCAATCTCTACATGTGCATATCTACTCTTTCAGTAGTGCATCCACTCTCAAAGCTTTATTTATAGGCAATGTGGGATGACAAACTTGGAAACCTTATCATGCAAATCGATATTAGTATATAACCCTTGCAAAGAATATTAGATCACTTGAATTCTCGACCTCAAGTGCAACCAAAAAATTTGGAAGATTTAGTGACTTAAGAGTAAACTTCACTCAATAATAATTAATCCCCACAGGAGTTCCTTAACATCCTTGAGATGCCACAACCCATTGCCTATGCCATGATAACAGTGATTGTGATGGGAGACAACTATATTATTCCATGGAACAAGCATGCACTTTCACGCAAAGTAGACACACATACAAAAATAAACCTGGCAATGAAAATAAGGGATTGGGGAGAAAGGGAAACAAAGTGATAGATCCTACCAGCAATATATCAGCAGCATGCCATGTAATACCTCCTGCAGTTACAAGGAGCATGCCAGAGATTCCTAGCGCTCCTAGTGTCTCAAATTTACCATGGCCTGCGGTATATACAAAAGAAAAATGAGGTCTGGAAAAAAGTAACAAATCATTTCATAACAAAAGAAAAGTAAGCTCTCGATTTTTTATTTTTTTTCATCTTTCTTTTTCCCCATATTTTTTTTTCGATGCAATTTAGAAAGTACAAAATCCATTTAATGCCAGAACAACCAGCTCATGAGACTAGTCAACTCAACTACATGGCTATATTTCTTTATAAAATACTTGGTCAGGTTGGGGGCCAATGAAACATCCTGAAGATTCATCTATAAGCCTTTATATACATTTTAAGCGGTGTCTTCCACTCTTATCTGATATAGAAGAGAACAGGCAATATCTTCTTGGGGTGATTCTAAAAAGGTTGGGTCAAAGAAAGATATGCCACAGCCTGAAGATTCATCTACAGTGAATTGTGTGATCAAAAGAGCCTTCATCTGCCTGTGGAAATTAATACTCTTCCCCAAAACTGCTTACTAAAGGTACCGGTTTTGGAATCTTTTTGGACCAAAACTTGGTCAAGCAATGTACAATCACCACTTCTGTGTAAAGGAACAAAGAATTCCTACAATCTTGCAACATTGAAAATTGGGATTCACGTAAAATCATCACTTTTGTGTAATGAACCAAGAAACAATGATGCAAGTGGATATATTATCTTTTTAATTTTTTATGCGAAGCGGGGTTCACAAATTTCCTTTCCTCATAGATGCATAGGGTCTCCAACATGGGTGACTTTGGGCTACTAGACTGGATAACATTAGAACTAACAGTCTAGAATCCTCATAACCCCTACTTGGCTCACTAATGCAAACTATCCTCGTAGTTTTGTCAGTGTTTATTTTGCAAGGAGATATCAAACATAGAATTAGACAACAACTAAGACAAAAAAAACCCATGCCTCTTAGCTTTAGGATCCAGTGAGGACCAAATGGTTAGCCCTTCTAGGGAAGTACCTTCATTTACAAACTTTACCATTTTCTCTCACCTTTTATACCAGCTTGCTTAGCAAAGAGTTTTTAAGGTAATTGAGGCAAATGTGAGAGCATATGGTAAAGTTTGAAAATTAAGGTAATTTCCTAGAAGAGGTTGGACATTTGCTCCTCACTGGATCCTCAAAGCTCATTAATTGGACCTTCACTCTAAAAGGAAGGTCACTCACCTCTCACTGGAACCTCAAAGCTCACTAATTAAACCTTTCCTCTAGGAGGAAGGTCACTCAATTATCATTGCATCCTTAAACTCACTAATTGAACCTGGATTATGATTTCATGAGTTTTTCTGTCCTACAAGTTGTCTACTTTTATTTTTGATATCTCCTCGCCAAATTGCCTTTATTTTCAACCTTTTATGCTTACAACCTTTTCTTTTTTTTCTTCGTTTACTTTCATAATTTTTAATTGACCATCAAATCATTGTGCTATCTTGAGTTATACATAGCCTATTGGAAAAATAAACATGAATACAAACAGAAATACGACAGTAGTTTGCATAAGTGAGCCAAGTACAGGGTCATGAGGATACACTATGCCCACATGTTGATTCTAATGTTATCCAATCTTCCAGCCCAAAGTCACCTACCTACATCAGATAATCTTTGCAACCATTTACGAAATTGCGAGGTAAGAGAAAAGGTAATTTATGGACCCCTCCTCCCTATAAAAAGTAGATATATTCACTTGTGTCATTGATAATATAGGGTACCAGCTACCTTCCGCCTAAAAAGATGATGTTCAAAAAAAAAAAGTCATCCCAATTTTCAATTTTGCAATAGCATAGGAAAATAAAAATCCAAATTTGATTACATATCAATTAAACTAGAGCTCTACTCTGACTTAAATAATTTTTTTAATACAAGCCAGCCATAAAACTATGCAAGATGCTTCAAAAAAAAAACTCACTTGCATCAATTTATAATCAAGATGAAGAAAAACCAGCCAAATACACAGCAATGGTCAAGGCATCTGATGAAATAATAATGAGTATGGTAGGGTAGTATGCTTGGTAAGTGAAGGTAGCCAAATAATCTCACTAAGTATAAATGAACATTTAGAAAATGCTTTAGCTTTTCATTATTGGAAGGCACAAGGAAAGATAAGATTCATATGTCTATTATCTATATAAGAATTCAAGATTATCTATTTAAGCATTCAAGATATTATCTAGGAATACTTTAGATAAGAAAAGGAAATCCTAAAGAAGCAAAGGACGCCATATATTGCAGCTCCATAATATGATGCCAAAAGGACACACAAAGTGAAATCACATCAGTATGATTGTTGAATATGTACAATTGACTAATGGCTAGTGGCAACTGGGAAGAGTAAAAGAAAATGAAATTAGCCATTAAAATTATATTATAGCAAAATTGGAAAACAAAGTACGTAGTAATAATTTCAAAAAATATATATATGTCAGTAAACAAATTCATAATGGGCAGGGACATTAAATGCTATAGACATGCATACAAAAATAATACTAGTAGCAAAAACCATCAAAACCTTAACCCCAATAAAGGGATCAGCAAGAGCGAATCAAAGGGAAAAAAGTTAACCATATGGGTGTTCTTTGTCTCTAGGCACTCTAGCAGCTTTAAATGAGAGTAAAGCAACGCTGCTGAGAACCTGCAATACAGTAATGCCAATTAAAGTAAGCACACAGATACTTTTCACCATCACCAACATAATTAAGACAAAAAATCATACGACAAAGACAATGTAAGCTAAACAAACAATATATGGGCAATTATTTGTAGAAAAGGAAGCAACTTTATGATATCTGATTGTCTTCTTCTTTCTTCAGTCCTTTGCCACAATGCAAAAGACAGGAGAAAGGGGGTAGGAAAAACATTTGGCAAGTTAGTTATTCCATAGATAACCATTTCAATGCAATCAATGGGGTAAAACAGGGTATAATTATTCTTTTAGACAGATCAACATCTCAATAGCTCAAATCAACCCAGGATCTATCAATCCCCAACGGTGGTTCCCGCTTTCCTTCACGTACCCAGCATTTACCTTAGACTATGTTCTTATCACATTATTTCATGGACTTGTTATTTATTCCACATCAGAATCAGACCATATCTTCATACTCCAGTTTACTTAATACTTTCTTCATCCTTATTTGTTCGCCTCATTGTATTTCTTGTGGTCAAACTTTAGAAACAAACCAGAACTTCTCACAAACCTATAAGAAATAATATAGTCAAGTGGGATCTATTTAGATTCATTAGTGTCTAGTTTAAGAATATCTAATTTTTATAATTTTTGAGCATAAATTGGAGACTTTTATGTTCTAAGATGATGAAAACTGTGAAGAGTCAAAATGGGGCAATTGGGAAAACATATAGGGACTAAGTACAAAATTTCTTTGTTAGTGTAATACTCCCTCCATTTCTTATAAATTTACACACTTATATTTTCACGTTATACAAAAATTGTATATAAATTTAGGAGAGAGAGAAAAAAAAGTAAAAGATGAAAGTGACAATTAAAATATATTATTTGGGAAAGTAATAGGAAAAATTGACAAGAATAATCCCAACTTTGCTCGATTCGCCCAAAATAATCCCAACTTTTAATTATTTCTTAATAATCCAAACTTTAATATAAATTTGTTTTTAATGGTCGCGGGTGACTGGTAACCTATTGAATAGGTATTTTTTTTTAGTAAAAAATATACAAGTGTCATTTCAGGATTGGTCAAAAATAAGTTTAATTTTAATTTATATTATTGATTTAGTTATTAATTGTTTAATTAATTAACTTTAAAAAATTATTAAAAAAACACCACCACTCATACAATGGAACAACCACCGCCCCCTGACTCCACCTCCGATGGTCGGCGGTTGTTCCTGGCTTGTCGGAGACCATCGCACTGACTCGTTTCCCCCCTCCCCCGCCGGCAAAGCTCAACCCACTTCTCTCCCCTTCCCATTAGCTTCCCGTTGGATGGGTAATTTGAGTCTGATTTAACGTTTCTGCCTTTCTAGGGCAGGTAAATAGGGGATGAGGGTCGTTCCGGGGAGGGAGGGGTGTTTACGCGGTGGATTGCCGAGGGGGAATTGGCAGGAAGGCGAAGCGTCGGGGTGGGGGAATTTGGGTTGTATGGGTTGTTCGTGGGAAAGGGAAAGGCGTAAGGTGGCCGAGCTTCGCCGTCGGGGGAAGGTGGTTTGCGCCTGCGATTTCTGCCAGCGCGGGCAGCCGGCAGGTCAAGCGCGCTGGTGTCAGCGGTGGCTGGCTGGTGGAGGTTTTTTCATTTATTTATAAAAATTCTTTTAAGGTTTTTTTAATTAATTTTTTTTTTAACTTTTTAGTTAATCATTTTTAATTATTAATTTAGTTTTTTTTAATTTTTTTTTACCAATCATGTCTTGACACGTGTCAGGTGACTTATTATAACAAGTCTTATGACCGATTTGGACCATTAGAAGCAAATTCATATTAAAGTTCGGATTATTAAAAAATAATCAAAAGTTGGGATTATTTTGAGCGAATCGAGCAAAGTTGGGATTATTCCTGTCAATTTTTCCAAAGTAATAATTGTGGGCCCATTGCTAATTTGCTATAACTAGAAAGTGAAAAGTGAATTAGAAAAAAAACATTCAATAAAGGAAAGTGAGTAAATTAAAAGAAAACGGAGGGAGTAGTAAAAATATGATTTTTAGATATTTGAAAAAAAATATATATTAAAAAAAAAATAACTACACAAGAATCTAACAACACCCCAAACAACAATATTTTATCTAAAAATTAACATCATATTATCGTAAACATTTAATTAGAAAAGATTAGATATATTCAAACCAAAACACCTTATTTCAAGTGAAGAGAACAAAGCCATAAGCTGATGAGAATTAACCAACATATAAACTAACATCCAATCTCCTAAACTACTTATTAACCATTCTCATAGAGTCAAAATATGAGCACAAAGCCACTCCAGCATTATTTTGAAAGTAAACTTTCTTTCACATTTCAGCAAGTAACCAAGGCCATAAAATACTAGTACCAAACTACTAATTACTTCATCATTGAAATTAGTAGTTCAGATTATACAGCTCCACTACAGCCCTACAGGTCAAAATATGTTTGATCACCTGGAGCAGCAGATGAGGTGTGATTACTTTTTAACTCAGATTATACATCTCTAAAGTCAGATCATGGAATGTAAGCCAGGGCTTCCTTCCTGGTACCAAACTAGCTTAAAGTCAGAGATATATACATGATTGCCATTATGCCATGATGGAGCTAAGTGAGCCTGTGCCAGGGACCTGTTCTCATCTATTGAGGGGAACAAAAGGACCTCCACCCAGCAATAGGAGCCTAAGGTTCATTGAGGGTCCTCTTCTCGCCAAATTGTATATGATCTTGCACCCAATACTTTATTTTAACTCATATCTACAAATATTTTTGATAATCAAGTTGCAATTTAAGTCGTAATCGTTACTTGAAAACCAATAACATGTTATTTAGCAGCCAGATTAGCGAAGCAACAAACTTCAGAAAATTTAAGTGAAAAATTTGGCTTCTTCATTGTATTTTGGACCACCCAATATTGAGAAATATTTTATAAACCCTGTTTCAAAACAACAATTATTCTACATCCAATCACAGGCATTACTATTGAGTGTCAAGTCAGTGTAGAATAATTAAGTACAAGAAAACACACTTTTAATCCAAAAATCAACTATCCCACAACTATTGCAAGATCCCATTACACCTAAAATAGCATACAAGTTTTCATCCATTTTGCAATCCATTCCACACATTAGAAGCCTTGTTTTGCTCAACAAGCCTAGCTTCCATATATAATTAACAGTTCCTCAAGCTTTCAAAAAACAAAACCAAAAAAAATTAACAGTTCCTCAACAGTGACATTTCCATGAAATGAGTTTACAATTATGATTTTCATGTTTGGCTGGTAGCACAGGTTAATAAGAACCCCGTTAACAACAAAAAGTAGCTTTAAAGAGTGAAAAAGGATACATTGAGGTATAGATGAACTATAAAAGTGCAACTTAACCTTCCTGATTATCGATCCAGGCTCCAAACTTCAATGGTTTCAAGGGAAATAAGTCAACTAGAGATTAAACATTGAGTTAGCTACAAGGTGGTCAACCAAACATTATACTACTCAATTTCTATATTAATTTGACTGAAAATAACAGGCGACTTCCTAAATTTAATATATTATCTTTAAAACACTTTACATTACTCCTCACGATACCCTTAACAATGAATTTCAAATGACGAGTATACTGATGACAAAGAGGAAAAGTATAAAACAGAGAAGAATTATTGTGGACCTGTGGTATATTGACTCAATTCCATAAAATGACTTCCAGATTCTTGGTTAGTGATTATTAAAGATGCAGGAAGCAATTTTTTTTTTTTCAGCAGAACTTATAATCTTACAGTACACTATGAATGTTAGTCATTGCTAAACCATGTGCTGCAAACCTTTCAAGAGCTACTGAACGAAATACATATGTTAATTAAACTGGCAGAAACTATAATATTTTGGGTAGACTTTCACATACCTCTTAACACCCTATAACAAGCGAAACTCAGAGGTATATATTTGTTTCATTTCTGAAGGACGAAGTAAGATCAAGCTTATAATGTGGTAATTGTAGGTCAGATCACTTCGAATGTTTGTTAAAGAGCTTCCAAAATTTCCTCAATTTCAGCAACTTAATGCATCACATTGGGCATTAGCCAATACAAAGACATAACTACATAAAATCATAAAACATGCCATGTTTCCCTAATACTTAGCTTACTTCTGTAACACAAAGAAATAAAAAGGTCTACTCAAGCATGCCATGTTCGAAAATAAATTTATTTTATTTTAATTGATAGCTAGAAGTTTGGTCGAATGAGCCATAGTCATCTCCCCCCTTGTGTTTCTAAACCCTATACCTTGTGGGTTTGAAGTTTAGAACATGGAATTACTCAACCAGACAATAGGCATGGGTTTTACTCATTCCAAACCCATACCTCATATGTAAAATCTACTAATCAAACGCCCCCTAAAGACTTTTCTCTATAATTCCCACCTATAAGTGTAGAACATTTCAGAAAATGAGATCAAATACAGTCATTAACTAGCTAATGAAAAAAAAAAACTCCTCGAGTCTTTACTAACATCATGGCATCGTTACAAACAGGGTTCTTTGCCTCAAAGCATTATACTCAATACTTCAGAAACCTTGCAAAGATTAGAAGGTACAGTAGACATTGTAAGGCACAAACTTCTAGTTAGTTTATAGGAAGAGAAAGATCCCAATAACCTCCATTTACATGTCCCAGAATTTTTTGGAATTAATCTTCAATATTAAAAGTGAAACTCAACGTATATAATGTTTGCGGATGATATCCATCTGGATGAAGAAACTAGAGATAAGGTTAATGCCAAGTTGGAGCAATGGAGGCAAATGTTGGAATCTAGAGGGTTTAAGCTAAGTCGGAGTAAGACTGAATATTTGGTATGCCGCTTTGGTACATAGGGGGTCAAGCAATGAGGTGGTGAGTTTGGATGGAAAGAACTTGACCATGAGCGAATGTTTTAAATATCTTGGGTCGGTCATCCTGAAAAATGGTGAAATTCATCAAGACGTGGCCTACAGGATTGAGACGGGGTGGCTTAAGTGGAGAGTGGCTAAGAGAGTGTTTAAAAAGATGGAGGTTACGGAAAAGCGAATGTTAAGGTGCATGTACCGGAACACTCTAAGAGATAGAATCACAAATGAGGTTATTCACAAGAAGGTAGGTGTGGCAAGCATTGTAGACAAACTAAGGGAAAATCGTGAACGTTGGTTTGGGCATGTAAGACGGAGACCCGAGAGTGCACCGGTACGAAGAGTGGGACCATGGAGAGGTTAAATGAGGGAAAGGGAGACCGACAATTACTTGGTTGGGTTAGGAAGGATATGAAGTATATGGATGTGCATGAGGATGAGGCATTGGATCATAAGGAATGGGGGAGCCGAGGAGGAGGATCTTTGTTGATGATTACACATAATACTCATGTAGCCGATCCCACTTAAGGGATTAAGGCTTTGATTGATTGATTGATAAAAAGTGAAACTCAACACTAGTTCTTCACAAAACAATTAATCAATTAAGCCTATACAAGATGTAGAACTTCCCTCAAAGAGTCAAAAGTTTGCCTAGCCATAGCCATAAATCCAGAAACCCAAAAATCCAATTTTCGAGAAAAAAAAGCATACACTACTCGGCTCCTTGCCTCACTCTAGTAAAAAATAAAAAAAAAAACTCCTAATGCATAACAATAGACAGTTCACTCATACATTTCTCCCACAGCCTGCATAAATGCACATACTCCTTCGAAACCTGAAATCTAAGAACCATTACAAATAAACTGTAAATTGTACCCACAATCAAACCAAATAACCCTCTTCCCCTAACTAGTTATCAAAACTAAACATGCATACAATGTTCTCACTCTTTTTCACAAATCCATGTTCTCACTCTTTTTCACAAATCCAATACCAAATTTTCAAACAACCCCTCAAATAAAATAGCACAAACATCGATATAATTACAAAATCAACTTAAAATTACAAGACTAAATGAGGTATTAAAATTGATATATTACCACGTCGGAGAGAGAATGCGCGGCGTCGGCAATGATAGCAGTGCTACCGGAGAAGTAACCGGTGACGGCTTTTCCGACTGTCAAACCAATGTCAGCAGCAAGTCCAAGCCTAAAAATGTTCTCACTTTTTTTGCTAGAATCATGATGTGGGCCATGATGATGATGATGATGTGAATGCCCAAAATGCCAGCGCTTGAAAATTTGGGAATTTGGTGGGTTGATAATCACATTTGAAGGATCATTAATTTCTTGCAATTGGGTTGTTAAAGAGTTGATTTTTGATGGATTGTGAAGAGTAAAGATTGAATTTTTATGGGTAGTTGAGGGAATTCTTGAGAGATATGGCTTGTAAATGAGATTTAAGTTGAAGATTCTGAATCCCATTTTAGATTGAATTTAGCTACTATTCAGTTTTTAAGAGAAATGCACACACATTTGAATGAAGTTTCTTATGTGGGTAATCTTTTGGGAAGCTGATTAATGTGCTGGCATGAAATGAACCTGATTCTCTCCCAAATTTAGGTGATCACTTGGTGGGCCGAATTCGGCCGCCAAGGCTTAAAATTTCAGTCTATATAGCAGGCCGGGCCAAAAAGTTGGATCTATATCCATCCAAAACGCTCAGGCAGCCAGGCCAAAAAAAAATCAACTAAATTTGCGTAAATATGTTTTACCAAGCCCGTTCATTTTTTTTTTTTTGAAAAATCAAGCCGTGAGTTCGGGCTGAAAAAGGCTGCCCAAAATCAAGTCGGGCTGCATGTGAACAGCTCTAATTTCAACCTTCCTTTTGAGAGTTTACAGTAATACTAGGTGGAATAATTTTGGCACTGTTTTATATGATCTTGTTATATAAGGGTGTGCCAAAATCAATTTCCTAATACTAGATACTAATGTTTGGCAAAAGTAGCAAAAAAGGTATTGTCGTTTAATTTGTTGCAAAGAAGGGATTGAGGGGCTCACTAGAGGTAAATTTTACGGTGTAACTTGTTTTACTCGTTAAGTTGCATTTTTATTAAAAAAAAATCTTGTCAACAAATCTCGAAAATCGAAACTAAGTCATCATTACATTTTTTTGGCAAGAGAACTAAAAAGGCATATACCTTTACATATCCCTTTCTCTATAAAAACTTCCACTAGAAGCTTCCCCGTTTCATTTCCAATTTTACAAATATATATATATATATATATATATATATATATATATAAAGAGAGAGAGAAAGAAACATAGAGCTTGATTTGAGACGCCATTAATATCCTGCTAGAACCAAATTCCCCAAAAGTTGCGAAATTATACAGTACTTAAGGTATATTCCATTCTCTTGTCTTTTTTCTCTTAAATTTGAAAGTGATTTGTTATTTGTATGTGAATTATGGTAGGGTTTCTAATAATAAAATGCGAATTATGCAAATTTTGTTGGTTTTCCTCTCTTTTTTTTTTTTGGGTTTTGTTTACGAGTATGGAGCATCAAAAACTAGGTTGATCGTCTGTATTTTGGACTGTAATGCTTCTAAAATTTGCAATATAATTATGTTAGGGTTTTGGGTAAAACAGGGTGTATAAGTTGATTAACTTAGAATCTAACCTCTATATGTATATAGCCTTAGGTATGGACGCATTGGCTCACGCTCACCCCATCTTCAACCAACAAGACCTTCTGGTCAAGCACCTCTTCCCCAAGCTAAACTGGGAGGACCGTGTTTTAGTGGAGACAGTGTGCAAGAAATGGAGGTAATAATGGTGATGCCTCAGTCACTTAATTGACTTTTTGTCCCCTTTTCATGAACCCATACGTTGTTTGTGGCTGAGTGGATTCTCAATAGCATCCTCTTTAACAACGACAGGGTTTTCCATGCCTAGATGACGAAGGACATGACGGTTTATTTTTATTGTTTTCCTTTGTTGTTTAAGGAGGGTTAGGCATGTGAAAGGAAGCTGAGGGGATGTTGTAGGAGCAAGAAGTAGGTTTTTGGAGGTTGTTGCTTTTTAAAGCTAATGTTATTTGTAATTATCAGTTTAAGTTTTTAGGATGCTAACTTTGTCATGGGAGGTAGGTTTTTATGTGTGACAAATCAATATATATCTTTTTGGGATTTGTCACTACCATGACAATGTAGGAAGTATGCAAAAGGCTTATGAGAGCTTACCTTTTGTAATTAAACAAGTTATTATTAATGAATAAATTATCAGCATCTTTCTTATTAAATAATTTGAGTATTGTTCTCTGTTTTTGATGCAATAATTTATGGTGTTATTTGAATTGAATTACATTAGTTGATGGTATTGATATTGAATTGTTTATGTTCATCTTATGAACTTATAAATTTTTATAAAAGAAAGTAATTGCACTATCTAAAGATTGTCGTGATCTTTAGTCCCGTTCCTAATAGTTTATGGGCCCTAGACATAATGTAAGAAAAAGACCCCTTGCCTAATTTTTTTTTTTATTCACAATAGATTTAAATTAAAGACTAAGAAAACCCTGTTCATCATATCATGAAAGAGCGCAGTCATGGCTCGAAATTAACTTATTTTATTTAAATTTAAAACAAATTTTAGAATGTGATAAATTTAATTAAAACCAAAGGAAAACTTTTATCCGAAACAACCAATAACAAGAAGATGGGAATTGAATATTTGGTGAAAGATGAACTATTTTTACTGCTATTTATGTTGTTAAATATCTTAACCATTGCCATAGTATTAATTAAGGGATTAAATTTTGATAATTGAAGAATAAGTAAAGAAGCGTAATTGGAAAATTTTATATTTTTGGAGATGTTATTCATGGAAATTGGAGGAGGAGGTGAATAGAAGATTAGAAAGCATCGTAAATTTCACCTAATTGATTGCTAAATAAATGGAGTAATTAACTTTTTAAAAAGCTTTATATGTGTACTATAAGCTGGACAAAGGACACGGAGCCAAATCTACAATTAAAGCCCACAATAGTTACAAAGTATTAAACTAGATTTTTTTTTAAAAAAAAATAAATAAATAAATAATGTGGGCCCCTTTTTGGCATGGGCCCTAGGCGATCGCACTCGCGGCCTACCCTCAGGGGCGGGACCAGTGATCCTAATGTACAGATAATATGGTTGATGAGTTGAAACCTTGCTTAGTTGTACATCATGGTAGGGAATGGGTTGTTATAGGTGAAATGCACTACATGTGTGTAGGTTGAATGTATTTGAAGATATTCCATATAATGCGAAATCATCATATATGAAGCATATTATTTACTCTTTGAGGTATAATGATATTGTGAAATTACATACATTAGATCCTAGGAAGACCTTATAAGATGGAGTTAGGTATCCATCCAGGCTTTGACAGTAAAACATTTTACCCTTTTCTGTCATTGTTACTGTAGTATAGAGTGATACATTTGTATTGTGAACATGAATTGGATGGTAACATAGGGTGAAATGTAGGTACTGGTGCATTATATGACTCCTTTATGGAGTAGGAGCATGATGTTCAATACCTAGAGTTGATGTGCATTATATGACTCTTTTATGGAGTAGGAGCATGATGTTCAATACCTAGAGTTGATGTGCCAGGGATTGAGGTGGATTCTGATAGTGATGGCACACTTAAGGAAGATACAGAATTATCATGAACAAAGGTGAGAATCGAGGGAAAAGAGAGATACAATTGGTAGTGGGACCCACCGTGACGTCATATAGGGGAATTGGGGAAAAGTGGTGGGAGTTTTTTTTGGTTTTTGAGAAAAATATGTGGTAATAATAATAATAATAATAATAATAATAATAATAATAATAATAATATGTGGTTCTTGACGACGCAAGACATTGGGGCTCGTGCTGCAGCTCATATCTTCACTAGGGTAGGATTTGCAATAGCTAGAGGAGTGGGGGCCCAGATTGTATTTCGGCTTCCCACTAATTTATTGTAGGTTGTATGACTTTTGTTTTTGAGATAATAATAATAATAATAATAATAATAATAATAATAATAATAATAATAATAATAATAATAATAATAATAATAATAATAATAATAATAATAATAATAATACAACCTTGAGGTGGTATAGTATAAAATGTGAACAATAGATGGTGGTTATTTTTTAAACTTTCCTTTCATTAATTAAAAAAAATGCTAAATGTTAGTCTATGATTAGTAAATATTTTGATAAATCAATAACTATATACTAAAAGACACACTAGTAATGACACATGTTAATTTTTGGTGTGTTTTTAGTATTTTTATTTATTTTTTAATAATAATAATAAATAATTAGAAAATTTTATTTAAGGAAGTTATTTTTTAAAAAAAAAGGTTGGTTTTTTTTTTTTTTGAAACAAAATTTTTTTTTGGTTTTGTCAACAATATAACTAAGTAATAATTATTTACCTTTCTTATATTGATATGCAATTAATTATGGAGAATTAGAGAACAAATAATCTTATTTAAGATGTAATATTGGTGGAATATGTTTTAAGAATATTTTCTTGATAAAATATACAATAAATATTTACAAAATTTTCGATTTATATTTTTCTAAAAAATCACTATATTATATAAATTGAGAAATTTATCAGAAATATAATTCAATTACCCAAATCAACTACAATACTTCAATTAAAAAAAATAAAATAAAAAAGAACTACACTCTTCTTAATAATTTTTTTATATGAAAAATTAGTCCAATAAAATATGTTCTTATAATTTGAGTAAATCGTAGAGTAATATAATCGTCTACATAAAACTAATTTTTATTGCTTATATATAGAGAGAACAAATAATTAAGTGGTTTTTTTTTTTTCATTTCTTATATTTTAAATTTATACATGGAAATTCATGTTATATTAGATGACATCCGAAGGGATAGCTTATTCTTTCATAATTATGTTTTTTTTTTTCTCAAGCTAGGCGGACGTGTAAACCGTATCTAACTTAGTTGCTACTTTCTAAGTGAGATATGATTAATTACGCTGAATATGTTTTTATTGGACCTTTTCAACAAAACATCGAAACTCTGGCAAAACTTCATTTAAATTAATAAAACGCCCGTGCTATCTTTCCTTGAAATAAAAAAGAAAATGTAATATTCCATATATATATATATATATATATATATATAATGGGTTTTTCTATATAGTAACCTTGTTTTTTTTCACTTTTCTACGTTGTGCCCCAACATATATTACTTTCTACACTGTAACCCCAATATATTTTTTGTTTCCATATGGTAACCTTACCGTTAAAAAATTCCGTGAGTGGGTCCCACTTTTCATTATTAATATTTTTTTATCGATTTGTGCGTTAAAAAATATTCCGTCAAAGGTTTCGAGGGCTATTTTGGTCCTTAAGGTTTCAAATTGAGCTCCGATTTGGCAAAAGAAAAACGTAAATGCCTCGTTTTGTGTGTTAAAATGTGAACACGTAAATCGAGATATTTTTTAATAAGCAAAACGAGGCATTTACCTTATTTTTTTTGCCAAATCTAAGCTCAATTTGGATCCCTAAGGGACAAAATAGCCCCCGAA